GCCCGCCGGGGGTGAGTGACCTCCGCGCCTCCGCATTTGAAAAATTAAAACCCCCCCGGGGGGGAGGCGGCTGCTGGGCGGGGGAGCCCTGCCGGCCTGCCCGGCCCTATCGAAGCTGCATCTGTCCCGGTGCTGTGGCAGATGCAGTCAAAAAGGAGCCGAAAGCGAGGCGTTTTCCTCGACGGTCGCCGCACAGTTTGACCCTCCGTAGCTGTCCGGCAACATTTCGGGAAAATACAGAAAATGCACGGCCTGGGGGGCTGCCGAGGCGAGGGGCTGGGCGTGTCAGGGGCCGCTGTCGCTAGGAGGAAGCGGCTCCCCCAAATACCTGGTGTTGGGGCCTTCGTTGGCGCACGAAGCGGTGGGAGGTGGTGGGTGTCGCGGCTTTTCTGTTTCAAGATACGTTTTCTGTCTTAATCTACCTGAAGCTCAAGACTGCTCTTCCCCAGCAGCACCCTGGCGTGGAAGGTGGTGCCAGTGCTGGTGACGGCCGTGGCTGGGCAGCGTCGGGCAGGTGAGATGTGCGATTCAGGCTCCGGAGTCTCCCCTAACGCTGGGAGTTTGGTTGCCGTCACGGCCTCCCTTGGCCGGAGCAGCAGCATTTGCTGGCCCTCTGCTCGCAGATGCTGCCAGCGCGGTCCTCGTTCCGACGCTGTGGATCCTCCTCAGGGCTCCTGCTTGGGGTCAGGCCCTGCAGCCAAGGATTTTAAGAACTGCAGAATCCCGTTTTTTCTTGCTCTGTCAAGATCAGGTATGGGCGGGATAAGGGGAATTACTTTCTCCAGCATCACTGGGCCGGGCTAGTGGCAGAACTGGGAATCAAATCCGATCCAGAGCCAGTGGACCACTGCTTTCGCTCCATCTGCTGCTCTGAGGCTGTAACAGACGATGCCAGGCGAGGTCAGTGGTGCCTCTGCATGTTCATCCAAGAGCTGTGGCTCCCTGCAGTAGCTACAGGTCTCCAACAACATGCGAGAGCAACGGGAAGGTCTTTGACTGCTGGGCCTCTTTTGCCTGTTGCTGTCACTCGCCCCTCCTATATATTTTTAGGAATTAGGGTGGCTTTTCTTGCGAGGCGCGGGTCGTTTCTGGGCAGGGTGCGTCAGTGACGTCTACTCGCAAGCCTGCTCCTGACTTGTGGGGGTCTTTGCGATGTGTTCCAGGGTCGCTTGATGTTTCGGAGCGCACTCAGCCAACGGCCCGCCGGCCGGATAGACCTGAGGTGAGAACGCACGCCCTTGTCAGAGCTCCGTAACCTGTCCCTCCAGATCCCTTTCCCATCAGATCTGAACACCGATCTTGTGGTCGAAAAAGGAGGAAAAATAAAATTCAAACTGGTCTCGGCCTCTTTGCTGGTGCAGTCCCGCTCTGAGAGGGGCCGGTTTGAAGACAGTCTGTGTTGGCCTTGCTCCGTCGGGAAGGCTGGGGTGGGAGCGAAAGCTCCTGGTCAGGAGAAGGGATGAATGCTAGGCATGGAGGGCAGCGGTGCCGTGAGGATTTGCAGGCTGGTGCTCACCTGGGCTGGATCTGATGCATCGATTCCGAGCGTACAGCGGCCCAGTGACCTCAGATACACCTGTGGCTCTTTTTTTTCAGGAATTACTCACTTAGTGGAAAAGGCCGAGAGCTTACAAGCCCCTCTCCGCGGTGAAGGGATCCCGCTTGCCCTCCTTAGGGCCTGAATCGTGGGGAGGCTGTGACACAGAGCACGTGAGTGTCCCTTGTGGGTAACGGCCAGATGTCTGGTGTTGCGTGCGCGGGATCTCACCACTCCTAGAGGAGAAAGGAGGGTTCAAGCTGGCTGTGCCTGTGCTGGAAGTGGCCCGTCCTTAGTCTGGGCTTTGCAGGTGGGAAGGATCGGCCTGGTTGGTAAGGTGTTTAATTGGGCAGGCTGTTAGCCGCAGGGCAGAGCGTCCGGGGGATCGGGCGCACCACAGCAGCCCTCCGAGCGCAGCCTGGTCCGTGATGACTCCTTTCTTTGGAGACTGGTGGATGAATCCTGCGGATATGGGGCTGAGGCCAGGCGTGAGCTAGCCGACATCACCGCGCGGTGCAGGGAGAGGGAACGCTGGGGAATTCACTGACGTAGGTGAAATCTGAATCAGTCCCGAGTCAAACTGCTCTTCATTCAGGCTGCATTGTTTTTTATCCCCTCTTTAGGTCTAAGTAGAGCGTGGAGCTGAGATCAGCCGGTCCCTGAGGGTTTCGGTGCTGCAGTGCAAGGCTTTGGCCTTTCCCAGCCCTCTCCTCCAGAAGCGGGAGCTCTGCCTGACAGATCCCGGCTCCATCCTGAGCCATGAGCTCCCCCGGGTGGGAGCGGCCGCTCCTGTGCTCTGCTCACCTGCGCCACGGCGGGAGGGAACTTTTTTGGCTCTGGGTGCTGCTCAAGCTCCCGTTTAAATGCTTGGCATGGAGGAACAGTCCCTTCTGTGGAGTTTTCCCAGGAGAAGAGCTTGGGGGAGGCTCTGGCTAGAAAATATTTTGAGGGTGAATAAATGCAATCACTTTAAACTCTTGCTGTGCCTCCCGTGCTCATCCTTGGGGTGCGTTGGTCTGGGGCGATGCCTGACTGCCCTCGCCCGGGGCTGGGGGGAGCCTGAACTCGGGAAATGGGAGCAACTTCTCCCACCCGGGGTTACCGATCCCGCAGGGTGAGGGCCTGTGGTTCTCCCGCGGCTGTCCCAGGGCTGGATCTCCCGGCAGCCGCTGCGTGACTGGGATGCACCCTTGGATGCGCTTTTTCTCCTGGAAATGAGCGTGTCTGACCTTTTCAGTGCAAGTTGGTGCTCCTGAACATTGAGCTACCGCCTGAGGGAGCTGGTGTGGAAGCCCCTCGCACACCAGTGCTGCCATGACCACGGGTTGGTCTGCTTTGCCTTCCTCCAGACACGGGAGCTGGTGCAGCGCCCGGGCAGCGGGTCCCTGGAGCACTGGGAAGCCGCGGAGGTGCCTGGAGTGGCTCCTGCCCAGGGAAAGGCAGCATCTTGCAACAGCCAGCATCCCCTGCTGCAGCCCTGGTGACTCGAGTCACCCGTTTTCTCACCTGGAGAACAAATTGGGGCTGGAAGCAGCCGCGGGGCTGTTGGGGCCAGCCTGTGTTCCCCGTCGGAGGGAGGGCTGGGCCATGGCAAAGTCCCCGCGCCGCTGGGGGTGACCCGGCTGTTTGCGGAGCGCACCTTTGTCCGGGGGACGCGGGGTCGGTGCCTCTGACCCCTCTCCCCGTGGGGACTGGAGAGTCCCTTCCCCACGGAGCTCGTCCCTCCCAGCTCTCCCAAGATTTTGGCTTCCTTGGGGGCACCAGCCCCTCTGTGGCACCCAGAGCCCGGCTCTCCCCGTCACCGTCACCAAAACCACACAGCAGGACAGAGCTGGCATGTGACAACACCAAACACAGCGTTCCGGGGACGGGAGGACGAGGAGGGAGCTGGCAGCTTCTCCCTCCTTCCCGGGACGGTTTGTTTGTCCGCCTGGGTGGCTGCGGGGTGGGAACAAGGGTGGGGACCTGGCCCCGGCCCCGCCAGCACAGCAAAGCCCGCCCGGGTCAGGATCTGGCCTCGCCGGGCGCAGCCGCCGGCATGAGGACAGCGACGGAGCCCCCCCAGGACCCCGATGGACACTACCAGTTCCGCGTCATCGTGCTGGGGGACGCGGCCGTGGGGAAGTCGTCACTGCTGCGCTGCTTCGCCGAGGCTCCGGGCGAGGGGGCGGCCGCCCCCTGCCCCACCGTCGGCGTGGAGTTTTACAGCCGCACCATCCCGCTGCCCAACGCCGGCAAGGCCAAGCTGCAGCTCTGGGACACGGCCGGCCAGGAGAGGTTCAGGTGAGGGGGGGATGGGGATGGGGACACAGCCCCCATGCGGGACCCCAGCACCCAGCTGACTCGGCCCCCCCACCCCGGGGTGGGTGTAAAGTCCCCGGCCGGGCGTGCGGGGACAGGCAGTGATGGCTCGCTGGGACGGTGACGCTTTAGGGGCCGTTGCAACCTTGTGCTGAGCTTGCAGCAAAGCCAGAGCTGGTTTTGGGGGGCAGCCAAGGGGGCAGGGCTGGTCCTGGGGTGCGGGTCCTGGGGCGCGGGTGGGCTGGGGCTGGGGGATTTCCCTCCTGATTGCATCAGCCAGGAGCTCCTGGGAGCGTGAAAAAGGCTCGAATGGGGTGCGACGGGCTGAAGAGCCCGGTGCCACGGCTGGAGCGAGGGGTCTGGCGCTGCCCCCATCCCTGGGAGCCTTTTGGGGGCCCCAGGGTTGGTCTGGGGGTGCCCCATTTCTGCCCAGAGCTCAGCCCCATCAGCACCCACCCCTGGCTGCTGCCCCATCCCCGCTGCACCCCGGGCTGCAGGGGGGATGAAGGGACCCCCGAGCCCCTGCAAAACCCCGCAGGTCTCCTCTGGAGCCCCCCAGTCTTGGGCGGGGGGGGGGAGATGTCAAACAGAAAATTGGGGTGCAGATGGTCCAGGCGGGGTCTCCCCTTCCTGCTCCTGAGGTCCCAGCTGGGACCCAAAAATCCCTCCCGGGGAAGTGGCTGCAGGGTCTGGCGGGGGCGGGGGTGCCCCCCGAACCCCCCCGTTGTGCCCAGGTCCATCACCAGGTCCTTCTACCGGAGCGCGGCGGGCGTGCTGCTGGTGTTCGCCCTCACCAACCGGGCGGCCTTCGAGCACGTCCCCGAGTGGTACCGCGAAGCCGCTGGGGACCGGCCCCCCGCCTTCGTCCTGGTGGGAAACAAGTGC